CCCGGTTTGTCACGCGCGAGCACGAGCGTGACACTGCACTTGGCGCCGAGCGCCCGCGGCTCAGACCTTGTGCAAGCCACCCCTCGGTGGACACGCCGGTCCGGACCGGTGGCGCTCGGTGTGGAGCAAGCAAGACCCCCCCCCCCCCATCGGCGCGCGCTCGCCATTCCAACGGCCGCCAGGAGCACCAAGAGGACTCCTCATGGCTGTGTCCAAGTGGGCTTCGACCGGCCTCGGCTGGGGGGGCGGGTTGTCCCGGTTGCGGACGCGTTCTGCAGCCCCCTGGGCACGTGACAGCACCCCAAAGCTGCCCCTCGGCGGCATACAGCACTGCCAGCCAGCCTCTTCCTCCTCCTCAAGGGCTGTACTATAGGCCATATTGCGCCGCCTCCTACTGGCAGCCGGGCGGGCGCGCGCCGCGCGCGCCTCGGCGCGCGCACGGCTCGCAAAGCTCGAGCGAGTACTGCCGCCCGGCCGCCTCAAGGCTGCCGGGCGGCAGTACTCGCCTCGCAAGGCGCGCACCGGCTGCTCTGGCTGCTGCGCCGGCGGCCGCTGCGCTGGCCGCTGCTGCGCCGGCTGGCGGGCGGCACGGCCGCCGGCGGCCGCTGCACCCGCGCCTTCCCTCGCGGGCGCCGTCGCGCCGCGCGCGCCCAACCCTGCTGGTACACGGCACGCGCGCGTCACACAGCCGCGGAGAATAGGCGGTGCAGCGCGCGAAGCGCGCGCGATCTCGTACTTTTAAGGCTGGATCCGGCCATTCCAAGGGTATACCTTTGAGAATCCCCAGCGTCCCACCCTCCTAGTCACACTCTCAATTTCTCGACTGGCCAACACGAAGTGCTGCGATCGGGGGTGGCCCATTTCTTTTTTCCTTTCTTTTTTTGGGCCCTGTGGGCACCCTATCTTGTATGCTTTGCACATCGCGTCGATTCCTGTTCGCGTGAGCACCAGCCTGAAGCCCGCCCAGCATCTGAACCGCTCCCTAAGTCGAAGGAGCATCATCAGTCTCACCCACTTCGCTCTCTGCCCACCGTCTCCGCTCCCTCCCGCTTGAGCCGCCGTCGCGGCCCTCGTTCGTCCCACTGGCTGTTGGCCTGTTCCCACGTTACCTCCATTATCCCTCCTCCTCCGCGACTCCCTCAAGGCTGGCCGGGCCTCCTTCCACCCAGCGACGAGCTTCCTCAGCCACTCGATGTGTTCCTCTCTCTTCATTATGCGCGCCGTAGCCTCATCATTGAGCTGGATCCACCTCTGCACCGCTCCCGTCGCCGCCTCGGCCACGACTTGCAAGTTCCTCGTGACCCCGGCGCCAAGGTCCCTCCGACTCTTCTCCGAGAGGTCATCTACCAGCGCCGGCAACACCCCCCCGACGGCTGGTGCTAGTGCATCGTACCCGTCCTCATCCAGCACCCTATAGCGTGAGCCCTTCAGCGCAGCGACATGCGCTATTCTCAGCGTCTTCAGCGTATCCTTGGAGTCGGGTGCCGCCTGCGCTACTTTGCTGATCGCCGTCCCCGTCTGCGCTCGCGCTACTCTGAGGAACCATCTGGCCTGCTCCCTATTCCCCGGGCAGGCGCCGCTAAGCAAGTGCGCCATTGTCGCTCTAGGCGGGTTCTCATCTTCCTCGGTCCATTGCTGCGCGGCTTTCCGCACGATCGGGGAACAGCGGGGGCCCCGCTTTAGTGCCGCCCCTCCTCGCCGCGTCCTAGGTGAAAAAACCGGCAGAAAGAGGTTCGGTTTTTTATACAGTTTGGGGGTCGGAACGGCCGTAATAGCCCTTGTTACCTCTCGCCCCGAGTAAGGTTCCGCGGTCCCCACCCCAGCATATAACACCCCCC